GCCCCCACCCTCCAGCCCCATCACCCGCCTCCCTTCCCTGACCCGCCAGGCTGCCAGCCCTCAGCCTGCTCTCCAGCTCAAGCCCTCCCCTTCTGGCATCTGCCCCACCACTTTCCCTCCTCTGCCTTACATGGTCCCTTCCCAACACCCTGCCTTGAGGGGCTCCGTGCCCAGCTCTTCCTCTCTTGCTCCCAGACCACCCACTAGCCTCCCTGCTGTCCATCTGGCTTCCCTTTCCCGTCACTCCCCTATCTATACCCCCTCTCCTCCTCCCAGCTCTCCCTTCTAAGTCTCCATAATCCAGTCCCACCCACAATCCAGTCTCCCTAACCAGGCAGCATGATTGACACACTCACCCAGGGGAGATGGTTTCCCCACTGTGGGTGCAGGTCACAGTCCCTGGGACTGTCTTCCCAGCAGCCTGAGCAGGTGGACCCAGGGGACACAGGAGGATGACAGCCCCACAATCAGCCTGAAGCATTTCTGAGGTCAGTTGCCAGACCCCTGGCTCCCGGAGCAGATCCTGGCTGTCCTACTGCTATCTGGGCTCTTCCTCACTCTGTCTTAGCACCATGGCAGAAAGAGCTTCAGCAGGGTCCTTTTTCCAGAGTCCTTCCTTCCCTCTCCTGCTGAGCAGCCAGCTGAAGGAGCCTGCAGGAGCAGCAGGCATGAGGTCAGGAGTCACCCAGGACCCTGTGGAAGCCTCTACACAGCCAGCGTGTCCAAACTGTGGTCCCTGCCCTAAGCCCTCCTGGACACTCCGTCTCACAAATGCATGAATGGACCAAGGAGAAGGTCCCCAGTGGGGAGAGCACAGGCTGTACAGTCAGGTGAGGTGCTCACAGGGCAGGGGTCCTCCCTCTCTGGGTGAGGCACTTTGGGCTCTTTTAAAGTGAATTGTTGCATAAGGCGTCCAGGGGGGTGAATCCAGACACAGAATGGAGAGGTGGTGGCCAGGGATGGAGGAGGGGACAGGGAGCCCAGCTCAGGGTGTGAAGCTGCTCTGAAGATGGGCTGCACAGGGTGTGAACACACTCGGCACCACTCAAGTGTGTGCTCAGGAAATTTCCCACCATGTGTACCTTACCACAGTTAAAAACACTAAAGTCCCAGGAACTTCAATAGGGAAAAGGTGGTTCTGTCTATAACCACACTGGACAAAACGTGTTCTCAAATGGAAACTTCTGGGGGGGAGGGTGTGAGTTTGTTTGTGTGAGTGTGTGTGTGTGTGTGTGTGTGTGTGTGTGTGTGTAAGCTAGCCATAGGTCTTGATTCTGGGCATCTGCTTCAAAATGGGAGAGCTTCCTGACTCCTCCCCAAATGTTTTTTAGGAAATGACTGGCCAAGGTGAGGTCAATCCTTCTGTACAATACCTGGGCCTGCCTCTGGACCTGGAGCCCTTCCCTGATGATGTCCAAGGGCAGCTCCAGTACCCAGGTTCTGATCTTAGAAGATGGGACAGGTGAGTCCAGTGCTTGCTTGGGGCCCTAAGAGGAGGGAGCACGGGGCAGTGGGTGGAGTCGGGGGACTGAGCTACCCAGGGGAGGTCCAGGACTGAAGACTGGAGCATTCCAACCAGGACTCTGTTGCCAGGAGACGGCTTGGGACAATGTTGCCTGGAGACAGCAGAAGATCTGGCACTGCCCTATCCAGAGGGCACTTAGAGAGCCCCACAGCACCAGCGTGGCCAGGCCATGGCTGGACACCAGAGAGAGAGGGTGATCCAGGACGAGGTTCATCAGAACCAGTTCCTACGGGAACAGTACCTGCAAGAGCTGCGCACACAGAAGCTCTGCACAGAGTACCACGTGAATCCCCTGCGCAAGGGTGAGGACTAGGGGACAGAGGCAGGGCACTGCGAGGTAGGTTGTGGGCGCACAGGCAGCAGGGAGAGGCCTGTCCTGGTCTCTGGTCTCCAGGAAGGGTGGATTCCAGGGCCACCTGGCCTCCTGAGACACATCAGATGCATTGAAATGCATCCACCACAAGATGAGATCAAATGTACTGCATATAAGCAGTACTGTTTGGTTCTTTTGGGTTTGGTTTTCTTTGTGTGTGGTTTTGTGTGTGTGTGTGTTGTTGTTGTTGTTGTTGTTTTGTGTGGTTGTGTCTGTGTGTGTGCATGAGTGTGTTTACCATGGATTGAATTCAGGGGCTCTCAGCCACATCCTTAGTCCTTTTTATTTTCCATTTTGAGACACAGCCTGGCCAAGTTACTGAGGCTGTCTTCAGAATTTATGATCCTCCTTCCACAGGCTTACAAACCTCTGGAGTTACAGGTGTGTACCACTGCAGCAGCTACGTGTTGCTTCTAATAATTTTCCTTTTGAAGTAACTGCATTTTGCAGGGGTTTTAGATTTTATTTTTGTTTATATTTTGATTTATTTTCATATACTAAAGGGATTTTAGGATTTTATTATCATCATAATCCTTTCCTCTGGAAATTTGAGGAGAATAGGCTCTGGGCAGCGCTCCCTGTCCTCCAAGATGAAAGCACCCTCCCCTACACTCCTCTCACCCTGCACACTCCTGTGAGATCTACCTCATCCTGCAGCATCAGCAGCCCCTAAAGGACACTGGGCCTCAGATGAGCTCCAGCTCTGCCATCTGACCATATCCTGGCTAACTTCCTTGGACTCACCATTAGGGACCTCAAACTGGCCCTCTGGAAAGCTAGAGGCCCTGAATCCCTTGCCCACCCTCTGCTTCTCCAGAAAGCCCTGTGGCAGCACAAGGCAGCTAGGCCTTTCCCTCCCATGTGAGAAGCATGAGTCAGCCCCGGCCTCCGTCCCTCAGTCCACACTCCTGGCAGTCACAGAAGCAGAATGGCTGCTGCTTCACATTTCCCCTGACCCTTGTCTGTTCCTACCTCAGGGAAAGACTCATGGTACACTGGGGGCATCCCCATCTCTCACTTAATTCCACCCTCTGAACAGCGACTGGACCTGCCCCTCTCCAGCCTCACTCCCCAGCCCCAGCAGGGCCATCCTCATTCCTGCCTGCTGCTCTGTTGCACTCCCAGCTACGCTCCTTCCCTCCAAACCAGCCACCCCAACCCATGTCGAGGGACTGCTGGCTAGACCTACCCTAAGAGGCCAGTTTGGTTACGTCCATCCCTTTGCAGAACACTTGTGTGGTCTCTGCTACTTCTGAGCTACCTTAACACAGCCAGTGCTTCCACCCCTTTGGAATTAGCTCTGATTCCTCCCTAGCTTTATCCCCAACTGCCATCCACCACCCCACCCAAGTTCCTGCTCCCCATGGCTGCTAGGCTCCTGACCAGGATCCTCTCTCCTCCACCTCTGAACACTCATGCCACAGCCCCCATTGTAACTGCCCACTTGCTCCTCCTCCCTGAGCCCCCCACTCTGGGCCTCTGTAACCAGCACCCCTGCAGCCTAGCTGTCTTCAGGACACTCAGTACTTCTGCTTAGAATTCTTCTAGTTGTCTTCTGGAGTCCCCACCACTGATTTCAGGAGAAAATATAGTTTGGTCCATCCCAACAAGCTAAAAAATCCCTCAGGCCACAACCATTCTGGGAAAAGTGATTTCCTCCAGTTCTTTCCCTTGGGCACAGGATTAATGTGGCCATTGTGGTGAAGTGAGAAAATACTGTAGCTTGCATTTCTGTTTACTTGTACTACAAAGAAAAATATTGTGCTTTTCTAATATGCACATAATTTTACATAAAGATGACATGTACATTTCATATCTTAGGGGGGGCGCATGCTCAGAAGACTTTTTCTGCTGGGCACAGTGACACACACCTGTATTCTGGCAACAGGGAGCTTGGGGCAGGGAGATTGCAAGTTTAAGGATGACCTCAACAGAGACTGGTCTCAAAATAAAAGTAAAGAGGGCTGGATTCAGGTTAGGGCTAGGGTTAGCTCACTGTAATAAATAAATGAGTGAATGAATAAACAAACATAAATCCTAGTAGCCTGTGGCTTGTTGCTACTGCCCTGGACAGTGCCAGGCCAGACCCTAGGTCCTCCAGGGCTGTGGGACCTTGTTCCCAGCACCTAGCCAGAATCCCCCAGGCCCAGGCACTCCATGGGTGCAGAATGGGAGTGTGGTCTAGGGTGAGTGGCAGAAGAGCAGGGGTTGGGCTCTGACCTGAACTGTGTCCCTCTTCTTCTCCAGTTCACACAATCACCAGGAAGCCCATGTCGTGGCATGATAACTTGGAGGAACCTGAAGATCGTAAGTCCTGGGGTCGGAGAATGCATGAGGTGGGAAGAGAGAGGCAGGGGGCTCAGAGAACTCGCAGGCAGAGTCACTACAAAGAAACCTCAGGATCCTCTGCTGTGGTCTGGAGACTGGACTCTACTGACCAGGCTCAGAGAGACTGATGAACAAACACATGCCAACTCATTACTGTCATCCACAAGAGTCCCCATGGCCTGAAAGATAGGAGTCATTCATTCACAAATGTTCAGACTTACTCACACAGGTGGGTTCTGAAGGTTTAGGAACTGGATTCACGTCCTGGTGCTGCCACTCCTTAACTGCAGGCTTCGGCCAGGTTGTTGACCTCTCAGCCCACTTCTTAGAGTTGTTGGAAGGACGAAGCAAAATACCACAGGTGCTTAGAGCTGAACCCGGCTCATCATGCTCAGTAAACACAGTCCTGTTCATGTTTCCACCTGGTTACAGGCAGTGGGATGGGCCCAGGGGTCTCAGCACAATGAGGCAGAGGCAAGAGGGCAGCCTGTAAGTGCCTCCAGAAGTGTGTGGGGTGGGATCATGGGCGACAGCACGGAGAACAGATGCCTCCATCAGGCAGGGGATGTGGGACTGTTGAGGCAGGTGGGCACAGGTGGTCCAGGGTGTCAGGCGGGAGGTTGTGGAAGGACCCCGCATGATAGAGAGATGCAAGAGGGCAGCACCCACATGTTCTGAGAATAGAGGAGTTGACCTCTGTTCCTGCCTGCCCTGGACTCCCAGGGGGGCCATGTCTGTCACAGCCCTGCTCCAAGGTCCAGAACAGTGCATAGCACAGTTTGAACTGGAAACATTTGCTGACACATGGCTGAGAACCAGATGCCCCTGTCTCAGGCCCTTGCTCTGCACACAGAATTCTGTGGCCCTGGAGTAGTTTGGCCAGGAAAAAGACACGTGCAGCTTCTAACTTGAGCCTCCTCTCCAGTCAGGTTTCTGAATCTCATTCACCATGCTGCTCAAAGACCCCGAAAGAAGTACCCAGAGACACAGACAGAAAGTCAGGAGATCGGCTGGGAGGCAGAGCCCTTGGTAAGCGAGGCCCCTGCTCCGGGCTGCAGTGGGAATACAGTGGTGCAGGCAGTGGCTGAGAGCAGAGTGACAGCCAACTGGCAGGGGCTGGAAATCTGTTCTTATTGCTAGTCCTGAGACCTGGGGTGAGTTACTAAACACTGTGTGGTGTTGTTCCTGGTCATAAATGGGGACACCACAGAACCTGCCTCACAGGGTTGCTAAGAGGAGCAGTACCTGGGACAGTGCCCAGCACACAGCACCTGCTCAATAAACGTGGCCAGGCTCCTGTGATGCAGATGGGGAAGAGCAGAAAGGAGTCCCTGAGCCCAGCCTGGGACAGTCAGGTGCTGTTCCAGGCAAGAAGACATCCCCAGGGGGCCACCACTCACAGAGAAGAGCTCACCCCAAAAGCAGGAGGTGTGTGGCTCAGAGCTGGAGAAGCAAGGCCACACAGAGGCAAGTGACAGCCATGAGGTCTATCAGTGAAAGAAGGGACTTCAGAGGAAACTTCTCAAGACCTTGATTGAACATGAGTAAAGAATCAGGGATCAGTGATTTCTAAAGACCACACAGAAGGCTTGATCCAAGGGGGGATGTGGCTAGATCCAGGTGTTGTGGGAACATCAAAGGTAAAGAAGCTGGGCTTTCAGAGCACTGTTCTTGGGGCAGAGGACGTGATTGATGTGCTCCATGGGCCCCAAATTGGGGACCCTGTCCCTGGCAGGACCTCGCCCTGTTCAGAGCTCCCCAACCTCAGCCCAGGGACCCCTGGGAAGCAAAGCTCAGTGGGCATCTCTTTGCCTTGTGTCTCTGGGTAACTAACACTTGCTGAAAATATATCCTCATGTGGACCAATAAAAAAATAAATAAATAAATAAATAAATAAAGGTAATAATATATTCAACACCTTGGGAAAAAAAATATCCTCATGTGGGATGTGTGTCCAAACACACACCAACACACACTCATACACACTCAAACATACACACTGAAACATACACACTCACACACACATACACACTCACACTCACACTCTCACACACACATATAGTCACACACACACACTCACACACACATACACGTATTCCCACACACACATACACACACATTCACATACACACACATACACACACACTCACTCACACACACTCACACACATACACACACTCACATACACACACACACCCATTCACACACACACACACTTGCAGACTGGGATGGGATGAGCACGTCCCTGAGTGACTCTCAGGGCAGCTTCTCTAAGGTGGCTGTGCTGAGGTGCCCCTGCCCCACATACACATACACACATGCTGTGACCCCCCACCACACTCCCTTTCCATTCAAGCACCTGCTGAACACCTAGTGTGTGCGGATGCTGACCAGGGACAGGCACAGCACCGCCCCCAGCTGTCCCTGGCACCCTAGCACAGAGGCCCACTGGCTCCAGGCTGTGGTGCCCGCCTGCCTCAGAAGGAAGAGGAAACAGTGTAGAAAGGGAAGTGAAACGCAGCGCAGTTGGGCCACGATGGGGCAAGCAGCTGCCCTGCTCCGTTAGTCCTGCAGGACTGGACAGTTCACAGGAAGGAAGCCAGGAATCGGCCTTCCCTGTGTCCACGCAGCCAGGGGCACCAGCCACAGATGTGCTGCAGTCCTGCTTCCTGGGGCCCAGGGGTGGGGTGGGGTCATTTCTCAGCTTCCATTTTCCCTGAAGGAAGCTTGGATGAGACCAGGTATCAGGAAATGAGAGAAAACACAGTGAACCCGGGCGTTTGATGCAAGGTTCCCGGACCTAGGACTTCCCGGGTGACCCGCAGGCTGCCCTCCATGTAGGCAGCCGGCAGGGCAGAGCCCCAGCTTTGCAGAGGTGACACCCCTTGCTCTTGAGATGCTCTAAGTGCTGGTGTCACAGTTTCACAAGCAGCGTTGAGCAGGAGAGCCCTGGGGCCACCCATGATCAGGGAGGCCCAATTGGGTCCAGGTCTTCCCCTTCCTGACCAGCTTCTGCTGCCCCTGCCTCCATCTAGGTCAGCCCAGAGCGCCAGGACCACAGGCTGAACCACTTCAGGGTCTACAAGGACATCACTCTGTACAAGGCCAAACTGTGGCTCCTGGGGGAGAAGGACCACCACAAGTAGCTCTCCACGGAAGAGCCGGCCTTCGCACTGAGCGCCCAGTGTGCTGTCCAGGGAAATAAAGGTGGTTCTGCTAGAAAGCAAACCTGCAGTGCACCTCATTTTACAGTCCACAAGCCCTTTATGTACAGTCTTAGGTTGGGCAGCATTCGGACCAAGAATGGCTCAGTGCAGTGCCCCAAGATAGAAGTCGATTAGGCTTAGGCTGGAAGGGGTGGGGCACGAGCTTGGACCTACCCTGAACCTGGTGGTGGCCTTGGCAGCCAAGGTGTTTGCAGTGCCCACAGGAAAGGGAAGCGAGGCCCAGGCAGTGCTGTGGGTCCAGCTGCCACCGTCTGATTTGATATGGGTGAAACATGGTCCCTGGGGTTGGCTGAGCTGCAGCTACATGTTAGAAAAGAGAGTCCCAGGGAGGGGACTCTGTGCAGGGAGGTCAGGCTGCAGCTCAGAACACCTTTACACCAAATTTGCCCTGCCCAGGGGCAGCCGCCAGCCAAACAACACTAGAAACCCAGGTCTGGCTTCTGCCCTGAGTTCCACTTTCTCATTTCTGCCCAAGTCCATGGTGGGTCCCCCATCGGGAGACTCCCACGTGGAGACCCAGACAAGGGCGTAGTGGTGACTTCTGTCTTCCCAGACACCAAGGAAAGGTGATAAAGGGACTTATCGATACCAGACTGCACAGGACCCAGGCTTACAGTAGGCCCTGGTCCACTCCTCCACCAGTGGGTTTTAAGCCTACCAGAGAGTAGCCTCTGGCACAGGTCCACCCCTTCCAACCAGCAGACTACCACAGGAGGTCAAACAAAGATCCATCTGCAGCCCAGATCCACCCACACTGCCCCTGTGTGGGGATCAGGCTCACAGTAGGCCTGGGGCCTCCCCTCCACCAGCAGGCACTGGCCAGAGCCCAGCTTCTAGCATAGGATCACCTCTTCGAACCAGCAGACTACCACAGGAGTCAGACCCAGCCCAGATCTGTCCACACTGACTTGACTTACTCAGGACCCAGGTTCAGGGTAGGTCCAAGCTCGTGCCCCACCCCCTTCCAGCCTAAGCCTAACTGACTTCTATCCTGGGTCACTGCAGTCATCGCCATAGCCCCCCTCCCCTCACAATATCCCCCCTACCTTTTTGAAAACAAACAGGGCCTTCAAGCAGCTGTATCTCAGAGCAGGCATCCCAAAGAGTGTGAGGCCCCCCTTTCAGCCCCATCTCTGTAAGATATTGCTTCCATCTGGGGGCACCGCAACTATTATCTCTGCTATTGCCTCCACCAACCTTAAAAGCAGTAGCAAACACTGAGGGACACCAGCAGGGTCTGGAAGCCCAACATCAAGGTGAGGTACAGACAATCTGCACAGGTATTACAAGAATATAGGGAAAAAACTGTAATATCTCAGATCCATGCTGCAAGAAAGGAAGACACATAGACAACATGAAAAAAAAAACAAGGGAAGAAAGTACCCCAAACAAACCAGGACACTATAATAACAGAACCCAGGGGACAGTGACGTTGATGAAATGTCAGAGAAGGAGTTCAGAAGGTTCATAATTAAAATGATCTGTGAATTAAACAATGACCTAAATGAGCAAATATAGGCAAAAATTGATCACTCCAAAAAAGAGAGTAAATACAGGTAGCAAAGCATTTACTTCGAGAGAGAGAGAGAGAGAGAGAGAGAGAGAGACTCTGAAAAAAACTCTTTGAAATGAAGGATATAATAAAAACTCAATAGAAAGCATAACTAACAGACTAGATCACTTGGAAAAAAAAGGACGTCAGATAATGAAGACCAAGTATATAATCTGGAACATAAAGTTGATCTCACAGTGAAGAAAGTTAGAAACCATGAACAGAACACACAAGAATTATGAGAGAGCATCAAAAGACAAATCTAAGAGTTATTGGGATAGAGGAAGGCACAGAGTTTCATACCAAAGGAATGCACAATCTCTTCAATGAGAAAATATCAGAAAATTTCCCAAGCATAAAGAACAAATTGGGAAACCAAATACAAGAGGCTTACAGGACACTAAATATACAAAATTACAACAGATCTACACCAAGGCACATTATAATGAAAATGCCTAGCATACACAAGGATAGAATCTTAAAGCTATAAGAGAGAGAAATCAAATCACATATAGAGGGAGACCAATTTGTATCTCAGTAGATTTTGTAACCCAGACTCTCAAAGCTAGGAGATCATGGAACAATATATACCAAGCCCTGAAAAAAAAAGATGCCAAACAAGAATCTTATATCCAGCAAAACAGCTTTAGATTTGATGGTAAAATAAAAACCTTCCATGATAAACAAAAGTTAAAAGAATTTACAACTAGAAAGCCTGCACTATAGAACATCCTCAGCAAAATATTCCAAGAACAGGAAATGAGAAACAATGATGAAAATCATAAGAGGGAGAGATTACACTAAAGGAAAATCTAATCAGAGGAGAAACCAAGTCAAATACCAAAAATAAACAAGAATGGCTGGGAATACAAACCATGTCTCAATAATAACCCTGAATGTTAATGGCCTAAACTCACCAATCAAAAGACCTAGACTAGCAGATTGTATTTTAAAAAAAGACCCAACAATATGCTGCCTCCAAGAGACTCATCTCATAGGAAAAAACATCCACAGACTGAAGGTGAAGGATTGGGAAAAATCATACCACTCACATGGACTGTGGAAGCAAGCAGGGATTTCTATCCTCATATCAAATAAAATAGACTTCAAACTAAAGTCAATCAAAAGGGATAAAGAAGGACACTACAGACTGCTCAAGGGAACCATACACCAACAAGACTTAATAATTATAAATATATATGCCCCAAACAATGGAGCATCCACATTCATCAAACAAACTCTTGTCAAGTTCAAGAGTCAAATAGACCACAATACAATAATTTTGGGTGACTTTAACTTAGCTCTTTCATCACTAGATAGATCTTCCAAACAAAAGCTGAACAAAGACACTATAAAACTCAATAATACAATCAATAACTTAGACCAACTGACATATATAGAATATTTCATCTCTCAACGAGTGAATACACTTTCTTCTCAGCAGTACATGGATCCTTCTCTAAAATAGACCATATACAATGCCACAAGACAACTCTTAGCAAATATAAACAAGTAGAGTTACTACTTTGCATTCTATAAGATCATATTGGAATGAAATTAGAAATCAATGATAAAATAAGTCCCAGGCCAACATCATACTAAATGGAGAAAAATTGAAGGCATCCCCTCTAAAAACTGGAACAAGACAGGGATGCCCTCTCTCACCACTTCTATTTAACATAGTTCTTGAAACACTGGCCAGAGCAATTAGACATATGAAAGAAATTAAAGGGATAATTATAAGAAAAGAAGAACTCAAACTGGCACTATTTGCTGCTGATATGATTCTATACCTAGAAGACCCTAAAATTTCACCAGAAAACTTCTAGAACTAGTAAATGAATTCAGCAAAGTAACAGGAAGTAAAATCAACACCCATAAATCAAAGGCATTTCTGTATAACAGTGATAAATCCTCAGAAAAGGAAAACTACCCTACCCCATTTACAATAGCCTCAAAAAATAAAATGTTTGGGAATCAACAAAAGAGGTGAAAGAATCTCATAATGAAAATTACAGAACCCTAAAGAAAGAAGTCAAAGAAGACCTTAGAAGATAGAAAGATCTACCTTGCTCTTGAATAGACAGAATTATTATTATCAAAATGACCATACTTCCAAAAGCAATATACAGATTTAATGCAATTCCATTCAAAATCCCAATGACATTTCTCATAGAAATAGAAAAGGCAATCATTAAATTCATCTGGAAAAATCAGAGACCCAGAATAGCTAAAGCAATCCTTAGCAGGAAGAGTGAAGCAGGTGGCTTCACTATACCAGACCTTAAACTATACTATAGAGTAATATAACAAAAACAGCAAGATATTGGCACCAAAACAGACTGGTAGACCAATGGTACAAAATAGAGGACACAGAGACAAATCCACAAAATTATAATTATTTTATATTAGACAAAGGTGCCAAGAACAAGCATTGGAGAAAAAATAGCATCTTCAACAAATGGTGCTGGGAAAACTGGAAATCCATGTGCAGAAAAATTAAATTAAAACCCTATCTTTTAAGTGCCTGCAAGGTAGGAGAACCGGCGACCCACGGGCAGGTCAGGCCCAGCAATCTGCGGAGAGACAGAGCTGACACACGCGCCTGCAGGGAACGCGGTCCTGCGACCCACCAGCGGCCTTCTGTGGGGCAGGCCCGTCCCCTCCCCCAGTGCCTGCAAGGTAGGCGGG